AAGCTGTTGCTGTATAAAATGCCGAATCAGAATCATCTACAGATTCGTCGCATGGAGCTCGGTAGACGAGGCACTGACTGACGACAGAATCACTCGCTAGGCGCTGCAGGAATCGGCGATATTGACTCTCAACAAAATAGCGTCCATTTTTCAACACCAACTTAGCCCGGCCATAGGAAAGAGTACAGCTTCGAATGTACTCAACGATGCCAGGTGGCAGCTGCGTCTTGCAGAGACGGCGCAGACAGCCGATTATTTCTTGGGTACGCAGACCAACGGAGACGGCGGCGTACAATGAGTACGAGGTGAGGCGGTACTCATGAATGTGCTCCGGTCGACAGACAGGTTCTGATATGGCAATTAGAAAGTCCTGAGCAGGGCGTGACAGTGGACTAAAGGTCTCAAGGAAGATATGACCATCGGGTCCAATCCAAAGTGGCCGGGTCGGATGATCAGGTCGCAGCTGAAGCAGGTTACGCAAGTCCTTGGCACCATACTCGTCACGGGGTGTAGGCACTGCTGTAGTAGAGCCACTTCCGTTCTCAGTGGCTGAGATGGCTGCGTCCGAGGCCATTGATGCACCGGCTTGATAAACAGTTAGGATTATTAGGTGGGTTTAAAGAAAGATAGCCAAGAATTAGACATACACCGAACAATGAGTAGTCGATAAAAAAATATGGTTAAAACCAAGTTATTAAATAGTTGGGAAAACTTTCATCTCGTATGAAAGTGCATGAAGCCGATATTCGAATGTCGATCTCACCAGAAGAGGACAACTGATTCCCGTAGTATTGCAGCCATTTGACTTTAATACGGTCTTTGAATTGATGTAAGCTTGTAAGTGTGTAAGTCCGGTTACGAAACCACCTGTCCTGACATATCAGTCTAAGGTTATTAAAATTTAAAAACCCAAGGAAAGGCATGACTGGGGCTGCGTAATCTCGTACCTATGGTTCGGTTGATGAGCTTAATCTAGCATGTTGGACGAGTGTGAGTGAAGTTAGAACCATCAGAGAGCAGACAGGTCAAATCGCCTTCTTTTGGATGGCGACTCAATCAAGCATAAGTAGTTTTCTAGAGGTTGTTTAACCTTGTTTTCGCAACATGGTCATATTAGTAGGAAGACTTATTGGAACGCACCTAGTCCGGAGTCCATTGTCTGCATGATCAATTCCAAAGTTGAACCTCTATACAACGAAAGAAGACTGCGACCACACAAAAGGCCACACCATCTTGGTCTTCATACCTTAGAATAAGTAGTTTTTACCTAACTCCTTACCATCATTCCTCAAATTCAATGTATTCAATAATATATTTATTTTAATAGCCTCTCTTATCATCCTTTTGCCAGCAGACGTACCATAATCAGCAAATATAAATTTATGAGACTATTCTATCTTATCTCGAGTCTCTGGCCTGCGTGTTCGGCCACTTCTGACCGTTATATCCAGTTTTCTTATTTTCCCTTTAATCGCGAACAGCACACTTCTCTCCTCCTTCAAATCTCTTCTTCATACACTTTCATACTAAATGAAAGTCAAAGCAAGAAAGAAGAATATAATTAATAACTGAAGAGCAACGGAGTGGTATATAAAAGTGTGATAAGTTGGGCTTTTAATTTCTATATGAAGAAAAGTTGGGTTTCGAGGAATCTCTTCACCCAACACTTCTACTCGAAATGGAAGTAATCCCAACAA